GCATCGCCGGTATTCGCTGATTGGATTCAAGATATGGGAGGAATTGATTTAAAGCAGTTCGTTCACATACCTTCGATAATATAGGTAAGAGTGATATAGGACGATTATTATCAGGCACTTCATGGTCACCCTGCTTTAAAATAGGCCTAACCTCCGCTATTTTCCAGATGGTGGGGAAGATTCCGGTCTTGAATGAACCATTTATAATAGACGTTAGAACAGGAACAACTGAAGGCAGACAATGTTGTAATACACGTACAGTTATTTTGTCAATTCGGGAGCTTTACCTATTGGCATTGAATTAATTATGTCTTCGACTTCTTTACATTTAACAACTCTAAACGAGAATTGGTGTTCTTTATGGTATTGTCTAGGAACAAAGGAGCGATTGTTAAGGACATAATTATTTTGCTCAGTTAAAAGTTGTATTTGATCCACAGTATTCTTTCCAATTGAAGCGAAAAATGTATTAAATTCATTCGCTACCGTTTTATCATCTTTACTATACGTTTTGCTGCTACCAGATCTCTTGGGAATACACGCTCTTATAGTCTTCCAAATACATCCTGTGTTATTGGATTATTTTTTATTTGCTGTTCCACGTATTCCCGTTCAGCAAGTCTTAACTCACGTTTAACTTTCTTTTTGTAGTTTCTGTAGTTAGCCCATACCGAAGGATCAATCGAGTTTCTAGCAAGCTTTCGCCATTTATCTGTCATCTTCATTAATGAACGTATTTCATCAGTAACAAAAGGATTAGGTCTACTCCGTATCTTAATGACTTTGATAGGGGCATGTAAGTCCAGAATTTGGTTAAATAACAAGTGGAAAGCATTCAGTTTATCGTCAACATCATCGAAAACGTCGACGACTGACCAAGGGACCATAGACATATCTTCCTCAAAAGCAGCTTGATCATAATTTTTGAAACTTCGCGTTGTAACATATACAGGCTTAGAACGATCCTTCTTTAAACGAATTTCTACATAAACCAGGTCATGGTCACTTATTGAACAGGGTATGACTTATTGACTAGGGCTAGTATTGGTAGCCAAAATAATATCGAGCAAAGACTTCGAAGTCTCTGTTATCCTGGTTGGTTGCTTGATTAATTGCTCAAGGTTAAAAGTAGAACAAAAATTCAACAAAGCCTGAGAGCCAATATCGTCAGTCTTTAACAAATTACAATTCATATCGCCTAGAATGTATATGTCTTTGTTAATAGATAGTGCCGAAATAAGTGTCTCGCTAAGATCTTCGTCAAAACAATTTGTAGTTGTATTTGGTGGTCTATATACTGTACAGACGATAAAATATTTGCAGTTTCTTACTTGTATTTTGAGCCAAAGTTGATGCATACCAGTAATGGAAATCCTTGATAAATCGCTCAGGCATTCAACCTTATAACAACTTCTCACAAATGCACAAACGCCCCCTCCGAGTTTGTCCAATCGGTCGAGTCGATAATATATAGCCAGGAATTTCCACCTCTAAATCTGTACAGTACTATTCAGCCACGATTCAGAAATAGTTAAGATATCATAATCATTCTTTAAAATGAGATCTTTTACAAGAATATGATGTTCTCTATTCTTGATAGATCTCACATTCAAATGGGCAATTTGCAAATGGCGCCGTTGACGTTGTTGTTTATTCGCAGCACAAGTCCTTCGTGTATCACGCTCGTTGACTGGACCAGGATTTGGCGAAATATCCATGTAGATTGTTAAATCTATTTCAAATGATTTTGATGGTAAAGCCAAAATAGTTATTCCTCGCTTTGTATTTCTAACGATAGCGAAAGACAAATTCGGCTTTGTGGAAATTATACGCCTCCGATAAACATTTATATGCTGAAATAAAATAGGCTCAGCACGTTTCACTAGTACATTGTTGCTTGAAGAAATATCGACTCTCCATGTAGTGTTGAAGTACTCAATTATTTGTTTCGAACCAGAAGCAAAGAAAAATACAAAACAGGGATAAAAATCCCACAAGCGAACACACCGATCTACCCGCCATGTTGTCGCTATTGTCCAGGGTCAATCTACCGACCAATTTAACGGTGATCAACCGCCATTTTAAATTCAAGTTTAAATTTGAATTCTTCGCTCCTACCGAATATTAATACTTCCCAAGTTGAAGAGGCATCGCAGCTAACATTCTCATGAAAACACAATCACAAAGCAACATAGGATTTGCGATCGAAAGCATCACCATATTCACGGCCCAAAGCATCACCATAATTACGGTCCAAAGCATCGCCATAATTACGGCCCAAAGCATCACCATAATTACGGCCCAACTGAAACATCACCATAATTACAGCACAAATCATCACCTTAATTACGGCCCAAATCATCACCGTAATCACGACCCAAAGCATCACCTTAATCACGGCTCAAAGCATCACCATAATTACGGCCAAATCATCACCGTAATTACGGCTCAAATCATCACCATAATCACGGCCCAAAGCATCACCATAATTACGGCCCAAATCATCACCGTAATCACGACCCAAAGCATCACCTTAATCACAGCCCAAAGCATCACCATAATTACGGCACAAAGCATCACCTTAATCACGGCCCAAAGCATCACCTTAATCACGGCCCAAAGCATCACTATAATTACGGCCCAAAACATCACCATAATTACGGCCCAAAACATCACCATAATTACAGCACAAAGCATCACCTTAATCACGGCCCAAAGCATCACCATAATTACGGCCCAAAGCATCAGTATAATTACGGCCCAAAACATCACCATAATTACGGCCCAACTGAAACATCACCATAATTACGGCCCAACTGAAAAATCACCATAATTAAGGCCCAACTGAAAAATCACCATAATTAGCTACGGCCCAAAGCATCACCATAATTACGGAGCAAAACATCACCATAATCACGGCCCAAATCATCACCGTAATCACGACCCAAAGCATCACCTTAATCACGGCCCAAAGCATCACCATAATTACGGCCCAAAGCATCACCATAATTACGGCCCAACTCATCACCGTAATCACGACCCAAAGCATCACCTTAATCACAGCCCAAAGCATCACCATAATTACGGCACAAAGCATCACCTTAATCACGGCCCAAAGCATCACCATAATTACGGCCCAAAGCATCACTATAATTACGGCCCAAAACATCACCATAATTACGGCGCAAAACATCACCAAAATTACAGCACGAAGCATCACTTTAATCACGGCCCAAAGCATCACCATAATTACGGCCCAAAGCATCAGTATAAATACGGCCCAAAACATCACCATAATTACGGCCCGAAACATCACCATAATTACGGCCCAATTCGCGGAATATTGTTAAAACATTCTCGAAGGAGTGAGAATATACACGGATTTTTCAAAAATACTGCGGGTTTATTGCGCCGGAAGTCTTTGGATTCAGCATGTTTGAAAATTGTAAGATATACAAAAATATTCGGTTCTACGACATGCTGATGAAAATCGTTTTCTAGGCATATTTTTCAGCCACAGGAAACGGATGCCAAAGCTAAATTATGCATATATTTAATTTATGCTGCATCATTACAGTTACCCTAATCCCAATCCCAATCTAATCATAGTCCTAACCTAATCTTGGGCCGGATAAATTCTTGTCTTTACGATTTACAGAATATTTTTAAATTTCTTCCCAATCACCCTCACCCGCTCTGGCGAACATATAATTTTGTCTGCATAAATTAATTCGTTCAACTTGACTGACCTTGATTCAAAAGAGAATATATGCAGATGATTTAATTATTTAATAAATCTTTCCCAATATCTATTAACAAAGAAATAGTAATAGGGGGGATAGCAGTAGGAGGAAACTAAATTCCTATTTATAAACTGCTCTCCTGGAAACTAAACTAAAGTCAGCAAGAAAAATAATAAAGTTAATACTGAATACAGATATTGAAAAAGAAACAGCATTAGTTTATCCTTAAAACTAGACAATGAAGTAGCTTCCAAAACTTCGCTGGTAAAGTGTTCCAGTCCAAGATATAGCGGTTAAAAAACGAGAACTTAAAGTAATTTATACGTGCATGTTTAGGTCTTAACTTAAAGTTATGGTTAGATCAAGTACGAGATTCAACCACAATATCCAGAGGCCAGTTGTATGACAGCCGGATAGCGCTATCCCGGCACCGGATAGTGATTTTTTTAACCGTTCTAAAAATGCTCGAAAAGCGATAAAATGTCATCTTTAGGACGTGCAATTATTAAAAAGGATCCTTGATTTAGGAATACTAAGATTTATTCAAAGTTATAGCAAACAAGGGGCGAATTTAAAGCGATTGAAAAAACCACCATCCGGTGGATAGCGCTATCAGGCTTTCATACAACCGGCCCCTGGGACCGGTTGTATGAAAGACGGGTAGCGCTATCCACCGGATAGTGATTTTTTCAACCGTTCTTAACATGCTCGAAAAGCTATAAAATTTCGGCTTTGGACTAACAATTATAATAGAGGAACCTCGACTTGGGAATACTAAGATTTAATCAAAGTTATATCAAACAACGTGGGATTTAAAAAAACCACTATCCGGTGGATAGCGCTATCCGGCTTTCTGCAACCGGCCCCAGGGGGCGTTCTAAAAATGCTCAAAAAGCGATAAAATTTCATATTTGGGAGCTGCAATTATTAAAGAGGATGCTTGATTTAGGAACACTAAGATTTATTCAAAGTTATAGCAAACAAGGGGCGAAATTTAAGCGATTAAAAAAACCACTATCCGGTGGATAGCGCTTTCTGGCTTTCATGCAACCGGCCCCAGATGTTAAAATTTGTCAATGTCACAAAGCCCAAACATGATCTTATAGAGCTCAACGAAACAATGAACCTCCACGTGAACGCTCCAATGAATCAAAAATTTTACAACACAATATTTCGACTATATACCCGCTAAAAAATTCCGCCACTTGAAGACGAATGAAAGTTAATAATTAATAAATTATATATAGTAGCTAATTATCACTCGTGAAAACTGTCTTTAAATGTCACAAGCTTTTCGAAGGCATCAACACAACTGCCATAAAATAATACCGATAATATCACAGTAGTGAATACAGTTCCATAGAAATGGTCTTTGGAAAACCATGTCTCGAAGATGAACGGTCCAAAGATCAATCCAATGCGGCCGGCAAAGACACAAGCGCTCGTTCCAAGGCTGCGAATCTCTGTTGGATAAACACGGGATACACACGTGGTTAGGAGTGCAATGTCTGATAACATGAGGTCTCGAGAAATCATTGTGACTATGAGTAATGGAATACTCAGGTTTGCGACGAACAAAGCGATGATCTGTGACACAAGTGTCAACAACGTAATTATTAAAAGTACTATTCTCGCATCAAAAACTTTACAACACAAAGCGGCTGCGATAATGAGCCCAATACCTGGCAAGGTCATCCAGACCATAATGGTATACCTATGACGGATTAATAATTCCTCGTTTTTTAAACCAGAGGATGAACTGCCCGCCACGTCAGACGCGGTGTAGATGAAATAACCATGTGAAAGGTAGGTGATACACGTCGCGATACAAGCACATATTGTGATTTTCCAATAACCTGATCGAAATAGCTGTGTAAAATCTGCCCTCTGTATCTCAGGACCGTGTTTCCGAAGTATTGTGTTGCTGAAATCCATTTCAGGCGCCAAATCATGAAGAATGTTCAAAGCTTTCTGCTCGTCTCCTGCTGCAAGATAAAAATGTGGTGATTCTGGGAGAAATACAATACTACCGATAAGGACAATTGCGCTCGGAAAACACACGGTAGCCAGAGCCCAATGATAACCGATCACCGAAAGCTCCATTGAAACAACAGCCGAAAGTAGATATCCTAAATTGTAGAACACGACTGTTAATACTGAATACATAGAACGGTATCTTGGAGGAAATATTTCAGCGATGATAACATATGTTTGAAATGAAATAGTCGCTCCGAAGCCGACAAAGAAAAGGCTTATCCAAAGCCAGTAATAGTTTGTTGAAAACGCGCTCACCAATGCGGAAACAAGTATGAACGTCGCACTGGTAACTATTGAACGCTTTCTACCGTATATGTCCGACATCAAACCCCAAACCATTGTTCCTAGAGTCATTCCTACAGGTATTGACAGTGTTAAAGCCCCAGCTGTAATTGCAGAGATATTCCAGTCTGATTTCAAACTAGGAAGTATGGCGGATAATATGGTCGTCCCCAGGCCACATGTAATATCTACGAGACAAAGCAATACAAACACTTTCCAATGATCAAGTCTCAATCCTATATCATCAAGAATCTCATCGATTAGGCGAGATGTGAAAAGTTCGTCGTTCAAGTCTGTGGCTTCCTCGTCGGCATGCGAAATGAGTTGGTATTTGACTTTGTCGTCTACACTTTCCACGTTTTGCTCAGATGAACTTTGGGCTGTAGAAAGCGGCATAGTTGGTAAAAACTGTTTAAATTTCGTCCACAGTCGCTCCATTTTCATTCGTTTGGTTAGCGTGGAAGATAAAGTTATATTGTTGCCGTCACTTCGCATATACGCGTGTACTGACCACAATTGTTATGATCATGATATGAATAAAGACACACGCTTGACCAGTGAAGCCTAGTCTCAAGAATTCGAAGATCGCATTTGGATATCTCGATGAAACACCCTGCCAATAATTGCAGCTACAATGCATTTATCGGAAATCACAGTGATTTTCATCACATTCAATGATCATTGGCATTGCACTGATGAAGCTTTGCAGTTTGCAGTATCAAATACTGTCTCGTCACTTTGCCTGCATAAACAAATTCGTTGAACTTGAATGACCGGGATTCAAAAGGAAATATATGCAGATATTTCGACTACCCGCTAAAAAATGTCGCTAGTTGAAAACTGGCATAAAAGCCAATATAACCAGGGGGCAGCGTCTTCAAACAACTTAGCATCAAATGTGGTATAATAACTGCCTAAAATAGACAAAACACTTCTCGGCGTTTCGACCTGAGGGCCTTCGTCAGGAGAGTTAATATGAAAATAAATAGGGGAGAATACATGTTTTGTATGGGGTCATGGGGGCAAAACACATGATAAAAATGGGCCAATAGAAAACAAAAAATCAAAACAAATTGGAATACATTACATTGCCAAGGAGACGCCTGATTGTGAGCTAACAATAGCCCGCAATGAGGGAAGCCTGAGTAGTATAAAGAAGAGGGGTTCTGGAGCGGGTGGTGCGGGTGGTGCACTTAGCACCACACATGACGTCATCGATTCCTAGATGTTGTAATTTATTCAGGCATTTTAATATATTCGAGCTTTGCCGTTTTATATTGCTATGCCTATAGCAATTTTTCAGGGTATTTTACTACCATTTCTTTATTTACATAACTACATCGTTTAGTGATGTCTGGTTACTTAGTTATATTAAACGGTAGGCGATTTCACGCCGTATGTTGTTCTTATCGTCGTTCGTATGCCTGTAGTGATTTAGCGGTCGTTTGTTTACATACGGCCGCGTTTTATTTCTAACTGCTCCTCTACCGCTTATGCTTATTTGCAATCGATGTTTTATAGATTTATATTTGGTTATATTCTGTTTAGAGATCTTTAGAGGCTTTAGAGATCTCATGCAGTTACATAATTAATCATAATTTAACGTTCTGCCTGTTTTTACACAATGATTGTGCAATAATTTATTATTCATATATAAGTACGCGCGGGGGCGAGGAATGGGGTAAACAGTGAAGCGTAAATACACACAATAGCGTAGATACGCACAATAGCGTAAATACGCAGGATATGTTTGTTTGACAGCAATTTACTTAAATTACACAAATGCCAGTTTACTTATCACACAGTAAAAATTTGCGAAGAGTATATTTTATTTTACTATAGGATTACGCATTTGTATGTCAATATTTAGTACCATTAGACTAATGTTCATTTTAAAAGATTCGTTTTTCTATATATGCTTTGTGATACAATTCAGCTCATACGTTAACCCTGATTTAATTGTCCTCATATATCATAATGTCAATATGCCGTTGACACACGAATCATTTCCATACATCAATTTTCGTGTTATCGAGTTACTCAAAGTGTACTTGCATGGAATATGAGGTGGAATATCGGTTACAAATTTTTTGCAATGAGCAGATGAGTACCTGCTCGTAACTGCTCGTCTGCTCAATGAGATATTTCATACCCACTTGAAATTTTTGTTGATAAAATGAAAATGTACATATGAACTAGCGACCGGAAAGAAAATTTCAGATATAGGTTAACGATTTTAACATTTATTTGTCTTGCAATTAGTTACAGCAATAAACAATAATTTCCCTTAAAACGTTTTCTTATTTTTTTTTTCGCTCGTTTGCCATATATGGTTTCCTTAAGAAAGGTTCGGTAAGCCTTTGCCATTGGATTACATTTAAAGTCTAATTATCATCATCGTCATAATCTTCACTGTCTTTATTTTCCTCGTCATCTTCAATCTCGTGGTCGCTTAAAAGCCTTTTAATAAGAAACTTTCTCTTATCAACTGCAGCTTCTATTGCTTCTTCTGGGTCAAAATCATCATTTTGAATAAACTATTCTTTTGTGTGCATTATTTTCCTATGTACTAGATCTTTCTTTAGTTGTCTTATCCACAAAAGGCGCTCAAAATAGATATTTTCTAATTCTTTCTGGAGTCTAGGCATAATATTCAAGTAAGCTTCCTTTAGCAGATTGCTCGTCGAAACCTCTGTCGTTTATGAGGCGTTCTTTCATTTCCTCGAGAGCTGTGTTACTTCTTTGTTTTGCTTCTTCTATTAGTGGTATCCAGGGATCCATTTCTTCTCCAGATTCTGAGTCAGTCGTCGTCGAACTTCCTGACTGCTGAGTAGAAGTTGTTGAGACATCGTCACGGAAATCTCTTTCTTGACTGTCCGAGTCTGTGGCAAGAGTGTCTTGTTTCATCAAAAACCAAAAAACTTGATTGTTGGGCTACCTATGCAAGAATAGACAAGAGTGAACACGTTTAATGACTATCTGTCTCAAAGGATAATGCGCATGCGTATTACCTGTTTTGTTATGTCCCACAATCAAACGGTAAAAGTTTTGTATTTATATTTCGTGGTTCGTGCAGAAATTGATCAACTGATAACTTAAAATTTTCATCCGCTGCGAAACGAAATCGGTTGTGTCATATCAGTAAATTCAATTCTGTAAGGAATTGGTATATTATCGACGGTTAACTGAAGAGGCTTAGGTAAGACGTCAATTAAATTTATTACTTACAAATTCCAAGTAGTTGCTGTGCCCTTGTTGGCTGCACCAATGAAGAAAGAATCTGAGGTGCCCCTTGGGAAATGTCTAGCAACGAACGGGTTTAATTGTTAATTTAAGTGCGATAACTTCCAAGTAGTTGCTGTGCCCTTGTTGGCTCACCAATGAAGAAAGAATCTGAGGTGCCCCCTGGGAAATGTCTAGCAACGAACGGTTTATTTTAGTTGTGAAGTTTATTTAAGGCTGTTTGGCTACAAAAACTAATAGACTTATCTGTTTTAGAATGGATAACACCTGCAGGACTTGTTTAAAACAGTTCACACAGCTGCGAAGTTTGCATCGTCATGAACGTTCTATTCATGGTGAAAGAAGGTTTTGTTGTGATCATTGTAGCGAGTCTTTCACACGAAAAGATGCTTTGAGGCGGCATCAGAAGCGTCATCAAAAAATGATTACACACACGTGCAACAACTGCATGAAAGATTTCCACCGTCGAGATAAATTAGTAGAACATCAAGTTCATTGTCAAAAAAATTTACTGAAGAGAAAGCGTAATGAAGGCGATAATAGTCCGGCTCCAAAGAAAATGCGAGTTCAAATTGGAGAAGGTGAACCCAATAATCAAGTCGAAGAAGATAACCCTTGCAGTTCTACTTCGGCGTTTGAAGATTCTTTGAAGAAGATCGAGTTGAGACCATGGAAAGATCAGAAACAGGACGTGTCCCACTTCTTACGCGGCAAGACAAAATCCATTTTGAGTCACCTTTCCAACGAATTAGCAGAGAAAAGAGGCATCAAATGGTTCATCAGTGTTAAAGTGCGATTCGTCAAACCTAAACCCAATGGCGAGAGTCTGGCTACCGAGTCCCACTTCCGCAGTCTCTGCATGAAAACAGTAGGCCAGCACGAACTGCATAATCAACTAGAGGAGGTCAAGCAGAAAATTACCCAGTCACTAGTTTTATTTCAAAAGAAGGAAGTGGTTGGGTATTAGACGAAATCCTTCATCTTGACCTGAGTATAGCTCAGTATACTCCAGTAAAAGGATCCAGCTACATCCCTCTTCCCAGCAAGATAAACGCCAAGAAAGCAGTAATCAACATCAAGAATTCTGATAACAAATGCTTCATGTGGTCCGTCCTCGCCGCTCTTCATCCAGTGAAACAGAGTGCGGAAAGATTGCATCATTATCAGTTTCAAGATGAACTAGATTTGGCTGGTATTGAGTTTCCTGTTACTGTTGACAAGATTGGAAAATTTGAGCGTCAGAACCATATTTCTGTGAACGTGTTTGGCTTTGAGGATGTACTCTTTCCCATCTACATCACAAAGGAACACTTTGATACCCACGTAAACCTATTACTATACTCCCAGGGGAACAACTAGACATTACTGCCTCATCAAAGATCTGAATAAATTACTCTACAGCCAAAACCGGAGAAAGACTCGTATGTATTACTGTCGTTACTGTCTTCATGGATTTATCCGAGACAACCTCCTCCAAGAACACGAACCCCACTGCTCTCAACACGGTCCACAACGTATTGAACTCCCGAATGAAGATAATGCTCAACTGTTCTTTAAAGACTACCACAAGCAGTTGAAAGTGCCCTTTGCAATCTACGCCGACTTCGAAAGTCTTACCACCAAGATCAACTCAGTTAATCCTAATCCTGAAAAATCCTCCACTGAAAAATACCAACACCACCAACCTTGTGGATTTTCCTACATTGTTGTATCCGACCATGAGAAGTACTCCAAACCGCCTGTTGTGTATCGTGGAGAAGACGCAGTCGATAAATTTAGAAGTGTTAGAAGAAGAGCAGAAATATATTCAAGAGAAACTGATTGGGTCGACCCATGCGAATTGAGAGAGAAGAAGAGCAGCATTCAAGATGCAGTCCATTGTCATATGTGGATATGAATTGGGTTCTGATCGTGTTCGTGACCATTGTCATCTCGGAAAGTACCGCGGAGCTGCACACAACGATTGCAATTTGAACTATAGTTTTAATGGTCGAGTACCCGTTATTCTTCACAATCTACGCGGTTATGACTCTCATCTCATCATGCAAGGACTTGGTAAACTCAAAGACAAGAAGATCAACTGCATTCCAAACAACACCGAAAAGTACATCTCCTTCTCCATCGATAATTGGATTTTATCGACTCTGCAATTCATGAATGCATCGCTGGAGAAGTTAGTATCCAATCTAGCAAAGGAGGTGTTGACAAGTTCCCCACTCTAAAGAAATACATCGACAGCGATAAAACACCCCTTTTGCTGAGAAAAGGCGTCTACCCCTACGACTACATGGATTGTACAGAAAGATTTGAAGAACCAACCTTACCACCGAAGGATCCTTCTACAACGTGTTGAACGACGAACACAT